GTGATAATTTTCCAAGTTTCAGCTCCGGAATTTCATTTTGTTCTAAACAAATTTGTCTAGGATTGCTACTAATTTTAAACTTTCACTATAAATATCTAAACATAATATTCCCCTTTTGTTAGTATTTTATAATTTATTTAATCGGACAAGACTGTTTCGAGTAGAAGGAAAGGATTTATTAATTGTAACATAAGATGACAATTTGCAGTTAATTGAAATTCATATTTACGACTTTTATCATTTTCCTCATGTTTGTTTTCTCAATTTTTAAAAAATCTTAATAACTGCTTATAACAATCTTTAATCTGGTTGGCATTTCTTTTTAGCAAGATTATTTCCTACGAGATGGGGTTACCCACCTCATGCCCAACCCTCCCCTTTACCTGGGCTTGAGACCGGCAGTAACTCTAGAAGAGCCACAGGCTGAGTTGCTTATAAAAATAACAAATAAAATTTATCTTGTATTGAAAATGTAATTATTCTTACATCAAACTAATATGTGGGAAATATAGACATAATAAGTCTAATATTCTCAGACACTTTTTCATTTCTTTCATTTACTTTATTTACTTACGCCTGTTACCTCTCGTGGAGGAGCATAGGCTGCACACCAGCATTCTCAATCCAACCCTGTCCTGGGCTTTTCTTTCCAGTTATTTCCAGTTAATGTTCATCCTTTTCATATCTGCTTCTATTTCCAGGCGTAATGTGTTCTTTGGCTTACCTCTTTCCCGCCTCCCTTCCGGATTCCAAGTTAGGGATTCCCTCGTCATGAAGTTTGGTGATTTCCTCAATGTTAGTCCGATCCACTTCCAGCGTCTTTTCCCAATTTTCTCTTCAGCTGAAAAGTGGTTTGTCCTTTGAATTATTTTTTCTGGTTAGCGAGTTAGTTCTTCTACGGGATGGGGTCGCTAACCCCATGCCCAACCGTCCTCCTCTACCTGAGCTTGGGACCGGCAGTAACTCTAAAAGAGCTACAGGCGGAGTTTTCTTTCATTTAGATTAATTGTTGTTGTTGAAAACATCATACAAAATGAAATGTCACTTTCATTCAGTTTACGTAACAAAATTCATAATGGTTGCTATAGTTACAGGTACAATAAAGATTTAGTAATAATGTGTGGAGATATTTTCAATATTTGCAGATAGATTTATTGACTTAAGAAACTTAATCATTATTATTATCAAATGAAGGTTACAAAGAAGACTATAAGTTCGAAGATGAATGATAAAAATGAACAATACGTTAACTGACTGAATAGAAAATTGTATGAAATGACTTAGGATACTTGTATGTGTTTTGAATTGTTTTCTGACGACTTGAAAATTCTAAGCATCATTCATGTATAGACAAGATGAAATTGCTATCTAAATTATCAGTGACTGATAAGAATTTATATCACTAGAAGCATAGGAAAATTAATACAAAGATTATTTTTGTATACATAGAGGATTAAAAACGAACCATTTCTCACTGCTGAAAACAAACTTGATCATTTATGCAATCAAATTTCGAACGACTTTACCATTTATTAATAAGTGAGAAAAATGAAGTTGATAAAATTTAGGTATATATGATTAAAAGTTTCGTCTATTATGTTGAAGTCAATTCTTTATATTTGATCTTATCAAATTACCATTCGCATCATAAATCATCTATGTTGAATAATATACTTAGAACCATTCAGTCCGTAAGTTGAGTATTCTAATGAGTTCTTTTGAACTGCAATACGTTTCTTTGGTCAACTGTTATGATAACCTTGAAAATCACAACAAGAGATTTAAAGTTCATATTGGTGTCATTTAACTGACTTATATCCGTGCACAGATCTATTCATGATAAATATCATTTAACGTATATATTAATTACTTTCTAAAGTAAGATGTAACTAATTCATATCTATTGATGATTTCCACCTGTATTATATTCATTAGTGATACTATCTAGTTTTATTCAAGTGTAATGTTGGATAACAACACTGTAAATGAGCTTAATTATTTAGCATTCACATAGTGAAACATGAATTTCTGTTGAATTTATTTACCTCAATAAGTATTATTATTATCTCTAATATATGAGCATGTTTAACTGTTCTTTACTAATGTTCCAGTTAAATACTATTTATATGTTAAAGTTTACACTATAAATTCAGTCTATTCAATATGTAATAAATTTGTTTAAATAAACTGGAATAAATATTTTAATAGTTGAGATCATGAATCAATTGAAGCTAGACCACCATGGAAAACCTGTAAGCAATGGACGGCGGGATTGTGGATGCGCACTGCTGAGAAGTCCCATAATAGGACGAAGTGGCCGTTCAGTGCTTCAATTGATTCATGATCTCAACTATTAAAATTACTATCATACCCACAAAACCACTTCTGATATTAATCAAGACATGCACACTAGTGACTGGCTTTAAGAGGTATTTGCTGGAGTTCTAGTGAGGAGCAGTGACCAATGGAGTTCAACCATGTCTGTTTTGAGATAGTAACTCACTGAAGACATTGGTGAATGTGTCGCTCACTTTCGTGGATTGGTTGAAGTTAGACATTAACACTATCGGATGCCGGCTGGCTCAGTGGTCTATTGGTTAAGTACTCGCGCAGAAGACTGATAAGTCCTGGGTTCGGATCTCGCAGGGCGAGGTCATGGATGTGCACTGCTGAGGAGTCCCACAATAGGACGAGATGGCCGTTCTGTGTTTCCAGGTTTTTCATGGTGATCTAGCTTCAGTTGATTCATAATCTCAACTATTAAAATTATTATAATATCCACAAAACCCCTCGTGATATTAATATAAATATTCTTATTAGCTTTGATCTACATATGAATATTTAAATATTTTACAAATCATCCTTACACATTTATACCTAATTAATAATAAGATTATTAAATATTATATAAGTAATTATTACTATTCTAAATAGTATTTAATTTAAGTTTATAACTATAATAAATTTGTTCATTTTGAATCAAATTAACCATTGAACATGTATACCGTATAACAGTAATAACAATTATAATTCATAATTAACCTGGATCCAGGGTAAGTGAATTACTAATATAAGTTGACTAAAAATTGAATTCGGAAAATATTATTTCTAAAGAATTTACTATTTATAAAGGAAAGTGAAAAAGTACAGTACACTAATTTCATTTTGTAGAATACATTAGTCAATCCCTAATAGATGATTGTTTATGTAGGCTATCACAAAATGTGAATTCAAATTTCTTTTTTATATACATACTTGATGTTATTAAGAATATCAGTGTTTGTTTTAATACAAAGAATGAATGGTTTAATTCACTATTGTTTTGGGATGTAGGCACATTAACTTTGTACACTAGGTTGATCGGTTATCATATTCAATGAAAATATCTTAGGTAACTTATTTTAGGAAATCAGACTTCTCAAGTAACTAAGAGCACTTACTTTGTAGCGGGTAATCTTCAAAAGCTTTACGTACATGCAGACGGAACATCGGATACTTGTATTTCACAGTTTTCTTGGTTGTTTTAACTATATGGTAGGTTAGCTAAAAGCATTTTTGGATTGATGGACTTCTCCGGTTAGTTGAAGACTCAAGCTTTGTATAGGAGTTTGATAGAAGTGATACAGAACCATTCACTCTTCATTTTGTACAGAAATAGTAATTTTCTATATACGAAAGAATCACATGGTTGAACAAAATCTGTTGTTCCAGATTTCTTTCTAAAAAAAGCTGATCTAAGTTTGATAAAGTAGTGACTATGAATAGTGTGAAATGCTATAATCCGTTGTCACTGAACATTTTCATAAAGCTAAATAACTAACCTACAGATTTTTAAAATAAACGTTCATAAGGAATTCTATCTGTTCCTCTCTTTTTTTCGTCACTGTTTAAAGGGAACATACATGTACAAGCAAACACATATTCAATCCACTGTTCTTTTAGAATATCATTAAAAATAGAAATTTGAAATAAATTCCAAAATAGTCATGAAATAGGTTACAATGTTTGTAGCTTGATGATTTATTAGTGAAAGCTTTTTCTATTCTTTCTAAAAAAATTCCTAGTTTAAACTTGAAAATAAAGTTCAATATTTAGTGTATCCTAGTGTATTTTGAATTCATTTAGTATTGTTTGTTTGAATCTTCCCATCGATGTGTTAGGACTGCAACTGGTCAGTCTCTTATTGGCATATATGCATACTGTGCGTATTGCCTCGATATAGCCTTAATTCACAAGCATTATAAGCAAAGATGGATAATGACTATCAGTGGAATCCAGGAAGCGCGTCTCGTTCTCTTTGGGACTCGTCAGTTGGATGTACTTGCATCTCAGAGTTGATGTTCACTATGGAACTAGAACCCAGTAACTTTCGCTTCAAACACTATCGCGTTATCCACTCAGTACTGAGTCCTGATAGCCACTTGCTTGTGCAATGGGGTGAAGTTTAAATTCGCATGATATTGTTTGTTTGAAACTTCCCATCGATGTTTTTAGGACTGCTTAGAGTATTATGAACTGATTATCTTTGTACCTACCTCAACATAACTTTGGCTTACAAATAAACCGCCTTGTTTCTATGTAAATATTCAGGTTGTTACCCGAGATGATTATGGATAACTTGAATAATCGTAAAGTTACCTAACCATTTAAGTATAAATTCAATAACACAGAAAAATTTTACTTCACTTAAGTGTTATGATAAGCAATTTTTTGAATATCCTTAATATGACCTTCGTTAATCTAATAACTTTTACTCTGTGATCACAGTTGAAGCGTCACACAAATATTGAAGTTATCAAACTATCAATCATAACAAAAGATGTGTAGATAAATGTTCAAAACTGCCTGTCATTCATATCTAAATTCACCTCACGTGATTATGAAGGTCATTTGCATTAGCACAAACCATAACAATTGTTAGCATACTTTAACAGGCACACTACGGATACATTTTTGTCACAAAACTGAGTAACATACTGACAGTTAATTAACAGTAGTTTATGAACCATAAAAGTTATGATGATGATGATGATGATGATGATGATGATGATGATGATGATGATGATGATGATGATGATGATGATGATGATGATGATGATGATGATGATGATGATGATGATGATGATGATGATGATGATGATGATGATGATGATGATGATGATGATGATGATGATGATGATGATGATGATGATGATGATGATGATGATGATGATGATGATGATGATGATGATGATGATGATGATGATGATGATGATGATGATGATGATGATGATGATGATGATGATGATGATGATGATGATGATGATGATGATGATGATGATGATGATGATGATGATGATGATGATGATGATGATGATGATGATGATGATGATGATGATGATGATGATGATGATGATGATGATGATGATGATGATGATGATGATGATGATGATGATGATGATGATGATGATGATGATGATGATGATGATGATGATGATGATGATGATGATGATGATGATGATGATGATGATGATGATGATGATGATGATGATGATGATGATGATGATGATGATGATGATGATGATGATGATGATGATGATGATGATGATGATGATGATGATGATTACTTAACTTAAAGATAGTTTACATTTAACATTATTGATATATATATATATATATATATATATATATATCGAGAATAAATGATCACTGGAATTATGTAGACTAATTTACCAAATAACAATTACTTAAGTTAACCATTTATATTAATTTATGTCACCTAGATACAGAAACCTTTGTAACTATTTACTGAATATGAATTATGTTAGAAATGAGAAATAAATGTTCCTTGACTAGTAGCTTGGGATAAAGAGTTGATCACAGTTGATCAGAATTTCATCTAGTATGTACTTGTATGTATGTTATTGTACATAACCAAACGTATTTACACCATATATATTACTTTTTTGTTGCAGTAACAATAATAATATCACTCTGATTTTCAATGATGGAAAATATACGTGCACAATCTCAAATGAATAGTTGAAATAGTCAACAGTTTGCAATTTAATTTAATCTAGATGTCATTTTAGTATACAAAATGTTGGTGTCATTCAAAGATTGGAACACTAGCTAATATTTGAGTACTTACCTGTATTTTGGTAAGAACCTGTAAAACTTTCAGTCAATTAGAACAGCACAGAATAAATAAACAGTTTCTAACTAAAACAAGACGTGTAATATATAGAACCAAAAGTTCTACTTATTTTATATAAAATAAAATGTACCAAATAAAGGAAAGTTCAAGAATCATTCATTGAAATTCATGCTTACAACACTATACTACTACTTAGTAGTTCGGATCATATCATGATATTTTGACAATTTGTTACCCTTGATTGGTGTAAAATCAATTATGATAAAAGTTGACTATACTAACCAATATATTTGTATAACACACATATATTACATTCAGAATATTCAGAGTATTTGATCAACTAATTATTATGTTGTTATGAATTTATAAAAGAATATGACGTATGACAATTGGTCCGGCTTTTTATCACGTGAATTATTCACCAATCGAAATACAACTTGTCTAATCTTAACACTGTGCCAAATCAATAACGTTCAACTGGTGTGAGCAGTCTAGCGTCCTTAGTGGTAGCCTTTCCATTTGAGTCAAGAACACCAATTGCAGCTTCTGCTATGCGAATCGTTTATTTCAAGCACATTTGGTTTATGCACTAGACAGACAGACCGCATCACACCATGAAATAGAAAATAATATTTGTACAAGATCAAGCCAAATGTGGCTGTGAACGTGGGAGACAGTAATAATAATATAATTTAGGGAAAGTAATTCGTATAATAATAATAATCCATAGGTCAAAATGAAGCTTATAATAAGATGAATACAGATATACACAATCTAATCACTCAACAGTTAAATAATAAGAATATATATAAAATAATAGTCCATTAATAAATCCCGTAAGTTACCCGTACCCATGTCTTCTCTAGGATATAACACTTTTAATATATGATAGTCTATTGAATGCATTCTCTGTTTATTTTCTTTTTCTATTTTCATTGTTCAAATTGATTTACAAACAACTAAACAAATTTCATTCGGACACAATAATCAATAAACTGAACATAATTTGGGAACAGCAAATCGTACAGTAATAGACCATAAGTCAAAATGAAGCTTACAATAAGACGAACATATATAGATTAAATCTAGTCACTGAATAGCTATACAATGAGAATATATATAGAATAATAGTCCATTAATAAGTCCCGAAAGTTACCTGTATTTATGTTTTCACTAGGATATAACAGATGTCTAGTTGAAAAAAACATTGCAATTTAAAATGCACCGCCCCGTCTGACATGTTTTAAATAAGAGTTAATGACCCACCTTAAAATTATCACTAATAGCTATCACAGTAATTATCAGGGTCTTCGAATAAAAGTTAAGTCGCATTTATACATTTGTCCTGGAAATCAGTATTATTAATAAAATATTTTGAATATAGTTTTCTTTTTACAATTTTAGAACAGCCAAGTCAAAATTTGCAACACTAATTCTCTAACTAAACAAATATTGTAATACGATTCCCTGTTTCGGGATTTGTCTTTACAGACTGCTTAACTCATTATCCGCCTTGAAGCTAATTATCAAAAAAATCAAGAGGAACCTTTTATGTCCTAGTGGAGATTAAATTAAAGGTAACTTTTGAGATCTATTAATGGACTTGTATTATATATATATATATATATATATATATATATATATATATATATATATATATATATATAAGTCACGTGATAATTAGCCGGATTTAAGTCACAACAGAACAATCCTGATATTTATAGTTTTCGAAGAACAAAAAATAATTACAATGGAATGCATCGATCAAAAATATTATTCAATTTAATTTTGCATTTCTATACTAAAAATCCTTGTTTATAGTTACACGTATGGTACTAAAGAATCTATTTACTGATAGATTAGATCTTAGTTGGATAACTATTGAAAAACAGTAAGAGCTAGACAGCTATTTCATGTTAAGATAATTTTCGTTGGCAGTGCACATCCACCATCCCTCCGAGTATTGAGTTCAAGAACTTCAGTCAAACGCGCGAGACTAAAATTGATATGTTGCATAATTTATGATAGTTCAAAGAACTCCGAAAACTTTCTGAAATGTTGTTCATTAGTTTCTTCAAAATACTAAATCATCAATTAATTCTATAACACTGTTTTGAAACTTTTTAATTGAATGATATTAAATCAAACCTATGTATTTTACTTGATAATATTTGCATATATTTTTCGAGTTGAAATATAGACAGAAGTTGCTGATGACTAATTTCAAGAAATTCTTTGTCGAACAACAACAAGAATTTATTGTCTTCAGTTCTTTTTTAATCTTTAAATATTTTTGAGCTCGACTGGTTTTGCAGTTTTTATCCTATGTCTGTAGTTAAAAGGTATTTGTCAAATGTCTTCTATGTAAATGTTTTAAATTGCTATATCACGAGAAACTGGCCAAGAAAGCAAGTCTATGAATAGCAAATACTTTTGTCTTAAAATTAGTAAATAACAACAACACTTGTGGAAATAGTCAACGTAAACTTATTTTGTAATTAGGTTTTGCTATTAATTGCATTTTTTCTCATTAATTCTCATAATCTGTACAATTACTTTTATCGACTGTAAAATTGTAGTTTAAAAAGTATATGGCTTGTGATCTTCCGTTCCGTTCTTGAACACCCCCATAGCATGACAAATTAAGTAACTCACAAATTCACTGCTGCACACATATACTTCTTGTTCTCAATTATCCGCCGTTACGACAGCATAACTCTTATATATTTTCTGTCTATGTTTACAGATAACAGTAATATCATCATTACATGCTTGGTCTGGATACACAGCTCGAATTATAACAATTTGCGGTGTTTGTATGAACCGATGATTCCTTTGTACTTGATATCTGCCTGATTTCAAATTCCAAATGCAATACGTTCGCTTGTGCTTACCTAGTTCTGTTTGGTTTACATTGAGCTATTTCGGGGATTCCCAGTTTGCATATTAATTCAAATACTTCTACTCATCACAATTTTGTAGTTGAGATTACGAACTACTTATAATTGTGAATTACAAAACCAAAAGAAACTAGGACATGCCTATGCTTAATATTTTAAGCAATGTCCAGTATGATTTTCTTGTGTGTATGATTTATACTTAGTATATCAACACATTAGTTTCTCTCGTAATAAATTTGTCATTATTTTTGGAATTAATATATTTCGGTCCACCACACGCTATAGCGATTACAGGATATCATCTAAAAGCTGACACTTTACCCATGGCAGTACATTTTGTAAGATACGTAACCTCAAATGGATTCAAACAAATGTTTGCAGTTTAAGACCAGTTTTATTTCTAGTAAAATTTTATACATGTATTAAAATCAATATGTCTTTACCATCAGAAAGATTAGCATAACACCAAATTACATTTGTCTAAAAACTAGTGATAGATCTATTTTTCGAATTAATCATTTAGTCGACTATTCAGTATTACTGAATAATAGTTAATCAGCTGGACCCTGAAAGTAATGTCTAACCAGATAGCCTATATGGCAAACCAAAGTTCTATCATTTAATTCATTGAATACAAGTCCAAAGTTTACTCTATTTAATCATATATAACGTAAAGGTTTTGGCGTTTTATAGTATGCATCTATAAATAAGTTATTTCACACTTTTGAGACCTCACAAAACAGGACTGAGAATTTGTCCTTAAAATCTAAATTGTTCTGGACGAAATAAAAGAAGCTTTCGCTCAATGTGTTTCCGTATCTAGTAGCAGTGGATCACCAATGTCTCCAAGTAGGAGCCTAAGTATATTAAAGAAATGGGAGAAAAAATAATAAAAAAGTTGGCAAATCATAGTAAAAAACTATCTTTAGTCCTTAAGAATATGTCCAGTTTTCTCCTGAACGACGCCTGGGAGGTCGCTTAGACTAACTCAGCCGTCAGCGAATTCCATCATTTAACTACTCTTAAGGAGTAAAGGGTGTGTCCACAGTCCGTTCTACTGTATTACATCTCCAGTTTCTGCGTCATACCCCTAAGGTTTATGTTAAGACTAAGCTTAAGTAACTGTCTAAGGGGATAGCCAGAAGTGTTAAGGATGCTGCAAATCACTAGAATGTCACCCATAAGACGCTTGTACGCTAATGGGTAAAGGTCCAGTGATTGAAGGCGCTCTTCATAAGGCTTGAATATGAGTCCCCGAACTGATTTCGTGGCTTGCCATTGAGTACGTTTCAGTGTGTGGGTGAGGGAGAAAATGCTATAGTGGCATTGGACCCGAACCACACAATCTCAAAGTTGAACATGAGACAACTGGGGAAGTAGGTATTCAGCATGGAGAAGGCGGGAAGAAAGGATTCAATGAATTAAATTCATTGAATGGCATGGCTCGTCCTTGCAAGCTGTAGCTGTAAATAATTCTCCAAAATCAATACCTCTGTAAGTATTCGACATTAGATGCTGACCACATTAGTTTTAGTGAACTTGTTTAACTGAAGGCGCTCGGTCATGCATCCGAACCAGA